GACAGCAGCGGAAGCAGGTGGGCCCACACACAGGATCGACCCGGGAGGGTCGACCTGCTCTGATAGCGTGTTAGAATGTGAACGAATGAATGAAAGAAAGAAGAGGGGTTTCACTAGCAAGCAGTTGAGTACATATAGCAAACCCTAAATTGGGCTGTACTCACTATTGAGTACCCCACTGCAGGCTAGACAAATATAACATTCTGACACTTCTCCCCTCAGGTGCTTAGTGAGTTGTTTCCTCAGTGATGTGTCACTGGTTCTGTCGAGGCTGCTGCACTCGGTGCTAGTAAGTCTGCTGCCGCACTAGGTGCTAGTGAGTCTGCTGCAGATTTAGGTGCTCGTGCGTCTCCCGCCACAGGTCCTTCCTCAGCTGAGGCCTTGCACACTTTCACACTTGACTCAGGTGCGTCACGTTGCTTCTTTCGTGACTGCACCACACTCACACCACTTGCTGCACCGGTACCGGTCTCAGTGGCTGACCCCACTGGGGGCCCAGTAGTCGCACGAGCCTCCACTCTCCTCCTGTGTCCAGCAGTCCCCTCCGGTTCTCTGTCAGGTCTCCACCTCCCCACGTTCTCAACGAATTTGGTGAGCACCACTGCCATTCAGGATGTCTGGGTTGATACCTTTATTCCTGGAGGGCAGCGTGTGGCGATCTGTACGTGCTCCCGGACTGGCCGTCACCTGGCTACGTTCACTCGACGGCCTGGGTCTAGTCAGTACACACTGACCACTGCGTCTGCACAGGTGGCTGAGACAGGTCAGGTGGCTGCGTCGAGTCAGGTGTCTGCGTCTGGTCAGCTTGCAGCGTCTTGCTCGTGTCGGGTACTCTCCCACCAGACTCTCCTCTGGCACCACCGCCTCGGTCACCCCTCCCTACCACGTCTCCGCGGTATGCACTCCCGTCTCTTGTCTTTGGCCTTCCCAGGTCCCTGCCCTACCTCCTGCGCTCGCCTGCCCCGCCGTGCCTTCCCTGCATCGAGGGGCGGCAGTGCGCCGCTCCTCACTCCTCCGAGTTTCCTCCGACCACTGCTCCTCTGCAGACTCTCCACATGGACGTTTTGGGCCCAGCCCTTGTCGGTGGAACGGACCAGGAGTGCTACTTCCTACTGGTTGTTGACGACTACACACGTTACACCATTGTCTTCCCCTTGCAGCACAAGGCGGACGTCAGCGGTGTTTTGATCCCCTGGATCCGTGCTACTCGTCGCCACCTGCGCGAGCGGTTCAGTCGGGACTTCCCAGTCCTGCGTCTGCACTATGACAGGGGCGGTGAGTTCTCTTCTGACCTCCTTGCGGAGTTCTGTCGAGACGAGGGCATCCTCCAGTTGTTCACGCTTCCAGCCTCTCCTCAGCAAAATGGGATTGCTGAGCGTCGCATTGGCTTGATCATGGAGGTTGCTCGTACCTCCATGATCCATGCGGCTGCTCCCCATTTTCTGTGGCCGTTTGTGGTCCGATACGCTGCGCATCAGCTCAACCTCTGGCCCCGTGTATCTGAGCTAGAGACCTCGCCCACACTCCGGTGGACGGGGAAGGTTGGCGATGCATCGGTGTTTCGGGTCTGGGGCGCGCTCTCCCTTGTTCGCGATGCCAAAGCGAGCAAGCTCTCCTCTTGCACTCTCCGCTGCGTCTTCCTTGGCTTCCCCACCAACGGCCCGCCGTGGCAGTTTTACCACCCGTGCTCGCGTCGAGTCTTCTCCTCCCAGGACGTCACCTTTGACGAGTCTGTCTGTTACTACAGGCTACACCCGCACGCGTCCTACCCGATCCCCCTAGCGCCTCTTTTCTGGGTACCAGTCCCCCCCCCCGGTAGACCGCCTCCCCCCACAGGGTCCTGCTCCCTCAGGTGTGTCTCAGGTAGACCCACCCTCCTTGGTTGAGCCTTTGGAGAACTCTTCTGACTCCTCTGGCCCAGCTGAGGGGGGTGACCCCGCCGCTGATGACACGGTGGCCACTCGCCGCTCTCCACGCTTGGAGACCCCCCCTGGTTTTCCGCCTCGGCCGTCTTCGCCGCCTCCGTAGCCTGCTGCTGTGGACTCTGGAGCTGAGACTGCTGGTGCTGAGCCTGGGGGTGCTGAGACAGAGGGTGAGGGTTCTGGGGGTGCTGTGACTGGGGGTGCTGCGACAGGGGGTGCTGCGACTGAGGGTGCTGACTCTGGGGGTCTTGCGAGTCCTAGTGGCGGTGGAGCTGTGGGTGACCCTGCTGGAGGTCCTGGAGCCGGACAGCCACCGCAGCCTGACCTACTTGAGACGCTCTCGTCGCAGGCGATTTGTGTGTGGATCGTTCGGCGAGGCAGTCCTGGTGGTGGAGGGTACGGTCCTGCTGGTGCTGGAGCTGCTCATCCTGGAGGTACTGCTGGTGCTGGAGGTACTGGAGGTACTGCTGGAGGTGCTGGAGGTGCTGCTGGTGCTGGAGGTACTAGAGGTGCTGCTGGTGCTGGAGGTGCCGGAGCTACTAGTCCTAGAGGTGCTGCTAGTGCTGGAGGTGCTGGACCTACTAGTCCTGGAGGTACAGGTGGTGCTGGAGGTGCTGGAGGTTCTGCTGGTGCTGGAGGCGCTGGAGCTGGAGGTACTGGAGGTGCTAGAGCTGCTGGTCTTGGAGGTGCTGGTACTGGAGGTGCTGGAGCTGCTGGTCCTGGAGGTGCTCGTACTAGAGGTGCTGGAGCTGCCGGAGCAGGTGGTGCTGCTGGTGCTGGAGGTGCTGGAGGTGCTACTGGAGCTACTGGCACTGGAGGTGCTGGAGGTACTACTGGTGTTAGAGGTCCTAGCGCTGCCAGAGCTAGTGGTGCTGCTGGTGCTGGAGGTGCTGGAGGTGCTGCTGGAGCTGTTGGTGCTGGAGTTGCTGGTGCTGCTGGAGCTGGAGGAGCTGGAGCTGCTGGTACTGCCCTGCGCAGACCGTTTTTCTACCCGCAGCCGCAGTCGTCCCTGCCGCCGCCTCACTCGGTCCTTCGCCAGGTTCTTAGTCTCCCGTCTTCCACTGGCCTCCCTCTACCCCTCCTGTGTCCACCGACAGACCAGTCTCAGCCACAGCTTCTGCCTGGCTCCCCCCTGCCTGCGCCTGCTCCTCACATTGAGGTGACTGAGTCCCTGACTGAGCGTTGTGAGCCTGAGACTCGTGCTTCCACACCTGTTCGTGCTCATCGTGTCGCCCGTCCTCGTCCTCCTGCTGTCCCAAGCACTCACGGTATGACACTATTCTACAGCGTGTTGTCCTGCCTGAGCCTCCCGTGTCCTCTCTTCCGCACGTTCCTGACCCTGAGTCCGACCTTGCTCGTGATGCCAGTCCTACTGTCACTCGTCTCCTCGCTACTGCCGTCACTGGCCCTGACCTTGAGTCTACTGCAGCGTTTGCCCTAGTCACTGAGCTAGTCGCCTTTGCAGCTAGGAGTTATCTCGACTACGTCGCGAGTCTTGTCACTGAGTCTGAGTCTGTCTGTCCTCCGTCCGTTGGGGTTGAGCTTGCCCTTGAGTGTGACGTACTTGAGGACAAACAGTTCGAGCTTGAGTGTCTTGCGGCCGCTTTACCTCGTTTCGCATCCATGCTACTTTGCCCTAAGGGAGACCTGGATGCACTTGACATCCCTACCCCACGCTCTTACGCTGAGGCGATCGCGGGTGAGTACTCCTCTCAATGGCAGACAGCCATGGACGCAGAGATGGCTTCTTGGAAGTCCACAGGCACCTACATCCACGAGGTTCCTCCTCCTGGGGCGAACATAGTCGATGGCATGTGGATTTTCAGGGTGAAGCGGCCGCCGGGTTCTCTGCCTGCCTTCAAGGCGCGTTACGTTGCTCGAGGCTTCAGTTAGCGACAGGGGGTCGACTTCTTCCAGACCTTCTCCCCCACCCCGAAGATGACTACTCTTCGGGTGCTGCTGCACGTTGCGGCACAAAGTGACTACGAGCTGCACTCCCTCGACTTCTCCACAACTTTCTTGCAGGGCAGCCTTCCCGAGGAGATCTGGCTGCGCCGCCCACCCAGCTTCACTGGGTCGTTTCCTGCGGGTACCCAGTGGAGCCTCCGACGGCCAGTCTACGGTCTCCGACAGGCGCCCCGAGAGTGGCACAACACACTAAGGAGTACACTTGCAACTCTTGGGTTTGCTCCTTCCTCTGCTGACCCAACGCTGTTTCTACGCACCGACACTACCCTGCCGCCGTTCTACGTTCTAGTGTACGTCGACGACTTGGTTCTTGCTACTGCTGACACTGAGGCGCTAGCCCTAGTGAAGGCGGAGCTGCAGGAGAGACACACCTGCACTGACCTGGGTGAGCTGCGTAGCTATCTTGGCTTGCAGATCACCCGGGACAGAGCACGACGCACCATCATGTTGAAATGAGCTCATAGGCTAGGGAGCCATGGCTAGGGTGTAAGCTAGTCAATTGTCGAGAGTGAAAAGTGAGAGAGGAAAGATGATGCACTAAGAGAAGAAAGTACAAGATATAGGAGCGAGAGATGGCAAAGGGTGCACCACCTACAGTAATTATAACAGTAACTACACTACAGCTATAACTATAAGCAGTTATACAATGATATATATAAAATATATTCTGACACACCCCCTAACTGCATGCAGGAATAGCCATGTGCAGAACACCCCCTGAAGGGGTACACCCTACGCAGCGGAAGAAGGAGAGGGCAAATGAGGAGGAGGCGGCTGATGCTGCAGCTGGACTCACAGCACCCCCTCAACCTCCCCCCGCACAGCAGTATCAGCAGCAGTGAGGGGAGAGAGGAGGAGGCATGGCGGCAGTTGCTGCAGCTGTGTCACCCACCACCCACATCCCTTGAGCCTCCCCACCACTTCACACTCCCCCCCACAGCAGCAGGTGCGGCTGTGAGAGAGAGGAGGCAGGTTGGCGCTGTAGGTGCAACCTCCCCCTCACACCCTCCCCTCCCCTCCCCCCCCCTCCTACCCAAACTGCTGCACGTGCAGCAGGGAGAGGGAGGAGAAGTGGGGGAGGGGGGGGGGGGGGCGGGGTAGGGGCTGTGCATGGCGCGTGCAGAGGGCAGCAGGGCGCACAGGGCTGGAGGGCAGCAGGGCGCACAGGGCAGCAGGGCAGCAGGGCGCGCGGGGCGCACAGGGCTGCAGGGCGCGCGGGGCGCACAGGGCAGCAGGGCAGCAGGGCGCGCGGGGCGCAGCAGGGCTGCAGGGCGCGCGGGGCGCACAGGGCAGCAGGGCAGCAGGGCGCGCGGGGCGCAGCAGGGCTGCAGGGCGCGCAGGGCTGCAGGGCGCGCGGGGCGCACAGGGCAGCAGGGCGCACAGGGCTGCAGGGCAGCAAGGCGTGCAGGGCTGCAGGGCGAGCAGGGCGCGCAGGGCAGCAGGACAGCAGGGCGCGCGGGACGCGCAGGGCTGCAGGGCGCGCGGGGCGCACAGGGCAGCAGGGCAGCAGGGCGCGCGGGGCGCAGCAGGGCTGCAGGGCGCGCAGGGCTGCAGGGCAGCAGGGCGCGCGGGGCGCACAGGGCTGCAGGGCGCGCGGGGCGCACAGGGCAGCAGGGCAGCAGGGCAGCAGGGCGCACAGGGCTGCAGGGCAGCAGGGCACGCGGGGCGAACAGGGCAGCAGGGCGCACAGGGCTGCAGGGCAGCAGGGCGCACAGGGCTGCAGGGCTGCAGGGCAGCAGGGCGCGTGGGGCGCGCAGGGCTGCAGGGCGCGCGGGGCGCACAGGGCAGCAGGGCAGCAGGGCGCACAGGGCTGCAGGGCAGCAGGGCGCACAGGGCTGCAGGGCAGCAGGGCGCGCGGGGCGCGCAGGGCTGCAGGGTGCGCAGGGCAGCAGGACAGCAGGGCGCGCGGGGCGCGCAGGGCTGCAGGGCGCGCGGGGCGCAGCAGGGCTGCAGGGCGCGCGGGGCTGCCTCCCCCTGAACCTCCAAGCTCCCCCCCCCCCCTCCCAACACAAGGTGCGGCAGGGAGAGAGAGAGAGAGGAGGAGGCGTGGCGGCAGCTGCTGCTGCTGAGGCACATCCGCCACCCCCTCACACCCTCTCCCCCCCGTCCCCATGGAGGGGGGGGAGGGGGGCGGGGGCGGAGCTGCGCGTGCGACTGCAGGGCACGCGGGCAGGAAGAAACCGTCACCCCTCTTGCCACCCCCTTACCCTCCATGATGCGACGGGGCACCGGGGCCGCGGCTAGGGGCGACAGGTCGCGAGGGGCCGAGGCTAGAGGCGACGGGGCCGCGGTTAGGGGCGGCAGGTCGCAAGGGGCCGTAGCTAGGGGCGACGAGTCGACGAGGGCCACGGCTAGGGGCGACGGGGCCAAGGGGCCGAGGCGACAGAGCCTAGGGTCGCGAGGGGCCGCAGCTGGGGGCGACGGGGCCTAGGGGCCGCGGCTAGGGGTGACGGGGCCAAGGGGCCGAGGTGACGGGGCGACGGGCCTAGGGTCGCGAGGGGCCGCAGTTGGGGGCGACGGGGCCTGGGGGCCGCGGCTAGGGGCGACGGGGCACCGGGGCCGAGGCAACAGGGCCTAGGGTCGTGAGGGGCCGCAGCTGGGGGCGACGGGGCCTAGGGGCCGCGGCTAGGGGTGACGGGGCCAAGGGGCCGAAGCGACGGGGCGACGGGCCTAGGGTCGCGAGGGGCCGCAGTTGGGGGCGACGGGGCCTAGGGGCCGCGGCTAGGGGCGACGGGGCCAAGGGGCCGAGGCGAAGGGGCCTAGGGTCGCGAGGGGCCGCAGCTGGGGACGACGGGGCCTAGGGGCCGTGGCTAGGGGTGACGGGGCCAAGGGGCCGAGGCGACGGGGCGACGGGCCTAGGGTCGCGAGGGGCCGAGACGACGGGGCCTAGGGGCCGCGGCTAGGGGCGACGGGGCCAAGGGGCCGAGGGGCTCCAGCTAGGGGCGACGGGGCCAAGGGGCCGAGCCTAGGGGCTAGGGGCGACGCCAAGGGGCGACGGGCCGGGGCCTAGGCTAGCAGGGCAGTAGGTGGTGGGCCCAAAAAGGTCGAAACTACTCTAATACCATGTTGACATGAGCTCATAGGCTAGGGAGCCATGGCTAGGGTGTAAGCTAGTCAATTGTCGAGAGTGAAAAGTGAGAGAGGAAAGATGATGCACTAAGAGAAGAAAGTACAAGATATAGGAGCGAGAGATGGCAAAGGGTGCACCACCTACAGGAACTATAACAGTAACTACACTACAGCTATAACTATATGCAGTTATCTAGCAATATATATAAAATATATTCTCACACATCATCCTGACTCAATCACACATGGCGCATCAGGTCCTTCAGCGCTTCGGATTCCAGTTCTCCTTGCCACAGCCCACTCCTCTGTCTACCGGCCACTCGCTCTCAGCTCCACCTTCGGACGAGTCCGTAGAGCCGAGTGGTCCGTACCCAGAGCTTGTGGGTTGCCTCATGTACCTGATGACGTGCACACGACCTGGCCTCGCGTACCCTCTCAGCCTCCTGGCTCGCTACGTGGCTCCCGGTAGACACCGAAAGGTGCACTGGGATGCTGCAAAGAGGGTACTGCGTTACTTGTGCAGTACATCGGGCATGGGGCTAGTGCTTGGAGGACAGGGTTCAGTGGTACTCACAGGACACTCCGACGCTTCTTGGGCTGACGACCAGACGACTCAGCGTTCGTCACAGGGTTACACCTTCAGCCTTGGCTCTGGTTCTATCTCGTGGAGCACTCGTTCTTCTTCTGTGCTTGGTTCCAGCTGTGAGGCCGAGATCTACGCCGGGGCCATGGCTGCACAGGAGCTACGCTGGCTGACCTACCTGCTGACCGACTTGGGGGAGCGGCCTCGTTCTCCTCCAGTTCCGTACGTCGACAATAAGGCAATGCTTGCCTTGTGTCACGAGCAGAGACTGGAGCACATAACGAAGCACATGCTCTTCGCTACTTCCTTGTGCGTGAGCTGCAGCAGCGTCGTCAGCTCCGCCTTTCCTACATGGCCTCGCGGGCCAACACTGCTGATGTGTTCACCAAGGCCCTTGGGTCTGGTGATCATCAGCGTTTCTGCACTGCTCTTGGGCTTGTGCCCACTCTTCCTCACCTGCTGGTTGCTTGACTTGCTCTTGTTGTACACTGATATATATCTTTATACCTGCTTGTTTACTCTTGCTAGGTTATGATCAGTGTAATGCCTTGCTTTTACAACTCTGCATGTGAATTGGCCTTGTGGTCACTTGCTTGTCCTCGGATTGTGTGGTGTCCTTGAGATCCACCCCGAGCTTTGCTTTGCTTTGCTCTGTTGTCTTCCTTGACTGGTCTTGTGGCTGTCTTGTTGTCCCCACTTAGCCTATGGGGGTGTGTCAAAGTACAATCTTACTTGTAGGCTATATTGGGGCACTCCTTTTGCGGTACAGTACTTCTAGGGTTAGTACTTGTACCCCAAATCTTGCTAATCCAATCATTCCTGCACAATTGTTCTGACAGTACTAACCCTAATTGGGTTGTACCCCTTATGGGCTACCCCACTACAGCCTACACAATATAAACATTATAACAGTTTGACAGACCCCCATAGGCAAAGTGGTGGAGAACAGGAGGTCACAAGACCAGTCAAGAAAAAGCAAAGCAAGCTCAAGGTGGATCACAAGGTCACCACACACTCTGAGCACAAGCAAATGGCCACAAGGCCAATTCACATGTAGAATTATATAAACGAGAACAAACAGTACATTGATCATAACCTAGCAGGGGTAAGCATGCAGTTATATGTATATACATCACAGTACAAGCAAAGTCACGCAGTGAGCAAGTGAGGCAAAGTAGGCACAAGGCCTGAAAGTGTAACCCTGTGACGAACGCTGCGTAGCCAAGTCGTCAACCCAAGACGCGTCTGCGTGTCCAGTGAGGACAACTGGACCCCGTCCTCCAAGCATGAGACCCATGCCCGATGTACTGCACAAGTAGTGCAAAACCCTCTTAGCGGCCTCCTAGTGCTTTGGTCGGTGTCTCCCCGGCGCAACGTAGCGTGCCAGGATGCTAAGAGGGTAGGAAAGGTCAGGTTGAGTGCAGGTCATCAGGTACATGAGGCAGCCCACAAGCTCTGGATACGGGCCACTCGGCTCTACGGACTCGTCCGAAGGTGGAGCTGAGAGCGAGTGACCGGTAGGCAGAGGAGTGGACGGTGGCGAGGAGCACCGGAAGCCGAAGCGCTGAAGGACCTGGTGCACCATGTGTGACTGAGTCAGGGTGATGGTGCGCCGTGCTCTGTCCCGGGTGATCTGCAAGCCAAGATAGCTGCGCAGCTCACCCAGGTCAGTGCAGGTGTATCTCTTCTGCAGCTCCAACTTCACAAGGGCCAGTGCCTCAGTGTCAGCAGTGGCAAAAACCAAGTCGTCGACGTACACGAGGATGAAGAACGGCTGCAGCGAAGTGTCGGTGCGCCGAAACAGCGACTGGTCAGCAGTCGAAGGAGCAAACCCAAGAGTCGCAAACGTCGTCCTCAGTGTGTCGTGCCACTCGCGAGGTGCCTGGCGGAGACCGTAGACTGGCCGCCGGAGGCTCCACTGGGTACCTGCAGGAAACGACCCAGTGAAGCCAGGTGGGTGGCGCAGCCAGATCTCCTCGTGCTGGCTACCCTACAGGAAAGCTGTGCTGAAGTCAAGAGAGTGCAGCTCGTAGTGACGCTGAGCTGCGACATGCAGCAACACCCGAAGAGTGGTCATCTTCGGGGTAGGGGAGAAGGTATGGAAGAAGTCAACTCCCTGTCGCTGACTGAAGCCTCGTGCAACGTAACAAGCCTTGAAGACAGGCGTAGAACCCGGCGGCCGCTTCATCATGAAAATCCACATGCCATCGACTATGTTCGCTCCAGAAGGGGGAACTGCGTCGACGTAGGTGCATGTGGACTTCTAGGATGCCATCTCTGCGTCCATGGCTGTCTGCCACTGAGAGGAGTAGGGACCCGTAATCGCCTCTGCGTAAGAGCGCGTGATCGGGATGTCTGGTGCATCCGGGTCTCCCTCAGGGGCAAGCAGCATGGCCACGAGATGAGGTACAGCAGCTGCAAGACACTCAAAGTCCTCCTGCCTATCCTCAAGGACGTTCGTGCCAAGAGCACACTCACCCCCGACGGACAGAGGACAGTCAGACTCACACTCAGCAACAAGACTAGCGGCGTAGTTGAGACGAAGTGCCATAATGTGAGTGCCGGGGACAGGAGGAGGACGCGGACGAGGAACACGACGACCAGTGCGAACAGCACGAACAGGCGAGGCACGATGAGACTCAGGCTCACGACGCTCTGTAAGAGAGTCTGTCTGCCCAGCATAAGGAGAAGGAGCAGGCAGTGGGGATTCTGGCTGTAATTGTGGCTGCAACTAGTGAGGCGGTGGACACAGTAAGCGAGGAGTAAGGCCAGTAGAAGTCGGGACACTAAGAACCTTGCAAAGGACCAAGCCAGGTGGCGGCAGAGACAACGGCGGCGGCGGAACGGAAAACTGTCGCCGCTGCACAGTGCCTCTAGCACCAGTACCGCCAGCTCCAGCACCCCCAGCGCAAGCGTCTCCAGCTCCAGCGCCTCCAGCTCCAGTGCCTCCAGCTCCAGCTCCTCCAGCTCCAGCTCCTCCAGCTCCAGCACCTCCAGCGCCACCGCCTCCAGCTCAAGCGCCTCCAGCTCCAGTGCCTCCAGCTCTAGCTCCTCCAGCTCCAGCGCCTCCAACGCCAGCGCCTCCATCTCCAGGGTCTCCAGCTCCAGTGCCTCCAGCTCTAGGGTCTCCACCTCCAGTGCCTCCAGCTCCACCGCCTCGAACTGGATCGGACAGCCCTGAGGATCGAATGTGAGAACGCTGAGAGTAGCCATAGTGGGCAGAGCAGGGTGGCACGTGACAAGAAGGGCAGCAGGCAAGCAAGGACGGCGTGACGGGCAGGGCGGCGCGCAAGCGCTAGGGAGGTGCGCAGGGCGGGGCAGGGCGGCGCGCGGGCAGGGCAGGGCAGGGCGGCGGCCAGCAGGGTGGCGCGCGGGCAGGGCAGGGTAGGGTGGCGGCCAGCAGGGCGGCGTGCGGGCAGGGCAGGGCGGTGCGGCGGGCAGCAGGGCGGCGCGCGAGTAGGGCAAGGTGGCGTGCCACTATCAGGGCGGCGCGACGGGCAGGGCAGGGCGGCGCGCAGCAAGCAGGGCAGGGCGGCGCGGCGTTAGCAGGGGGGCGCGACGGGC